ATGGTTGGATAAAGCAGCTTAGAAAGACATGATATTAGGAAGGGTAGTAAAAAATGTATAGTTGGCAGAAAAGTAGGCAAACATCCTGGTATAGGTTGAAAAATTACAGCCACCTTAGTGAGCTCAAAGCAAACATAAAGTTTAGAATTTTTTTTTGATGGGCTGGTTGATCCTACGTGTGGTACCGTTCCGAATACAAAGGGAAAAAACAGAAGTACTAATAGGAAAAAGCAACACTATCACTTGGTTTCATTCGTTTGATCCTTGCGCACAAATGTGAATGGCTCCGCCTTACACCTCCTTTTTGTTGGTATAGGGTGGAGGGTAAGCGCAAAGAGTGCACATATATGAAGAGTAACACAAAGAAACGATACTAAGTGTGTAGTTTAGAAAGAGAGTTTACTTACCAGTTATTTCTTTGACATCACTCCACACACGTCCTCTATCATTGCGGTCACGTTCGGCTTAACACGGATTAAGCTAATTGATTGTGCTAAGTCATTCACTGAGTACGGGCTACTGTGTTCTGCGAGGTATATGTTTAATGTGAAAACCAAACAGCAACTCAACATCAAATTTCCAGTGAAAGTTTGTAAGACAGGCTTGAAAACATTTCAGTTGCTGACCGATCCTTTTAAAGATGAAACTATGACATGTTACCTGATGAAGCATGACAAGTTAGATGAAAGACAACATGTTGCCTCATGCATCAGTGCATCAGTGGCATAGGCAGCTTTAACATGGAAGAGAAAAGTGTGAGTTGATATATGTGTTGGTTGCGCCAAGTAAGCGATCACATACCATTTCTGAATTTTGTTATTGATACACGCTAAAGGTACCAATAGCAAATCCAGAGGAAGGTTGGTAATGGCGATCGCCCCCTCTCCCAAGGCCTCTGTCAGCACCCCCTCTCCTCAATTCAGTGATCGTAGTCCACCTTCTGTCACCAAATAAAAACTAACGAATGAAATCACTGTGAGCGCACATTAACATTATTCATATTACAAAGGTTTTTTTCTGCTATTGAAACAAAAACTCACGACTACGCCCCCCTTTTCTTTGCCATTTTAGGTGGCCGCCCCCCTCCCCATCTTTATGTGTGTGGCTGGATCCGCCCCTTGTGGGTACGGAAGATTAAGTGTTTGTAAAGTGCGGGAGTTGGCTGACTTGAATTAGGAAGCTGTTTGACACTTCCTTATACTACGTGAGGAATTGGACTTGAAGAAAATGCTGAGGTTGTTCCGAAGGTTCGGCCCGAGGACCAAATACAGGACCGTAAAGACGTGTGGGGGACACTTAGTAAGCAATGCGAACGAACCATTTTTATGGAATATGTTGTAACATGGGGAGACGTAAACTTCTACCTATGACCCCGAATATAAACGATCTCAATGCCGTGTAAGTCTAGAAATCACGACCGAGAAAACATAAAATTGTAAATGTGTTCTCTGAAATATAATACGGATAAAAGTGAGACTTCTGTCATGAGTAGGTTTATAGTATTGTTAATTTAGGCGACTAGTTCATCATAACCAGGGGGACTCGATGAACAATTTTTTTTCCTTTGTGCCTCGCCAGGTACAATTATTGACAAATCATTGGTGTTTTTTTTTTAGAAGAGAACTTCTTCTTGGTGAATGACGGAAGTGAAACACTAGCGCGTCGGCCAAGGACATGCGGTCGTGTCCTAATAAAAGAAAGCAGATGATTACTCTTCCTGCCACAACAAAAGGTGAATCTGAGATAAACCACTTGAAGGCAGATTCTGAGCCAGCATCGTTGTGCAAAAAGACGCGTCACGCAAAAGCTTCTCTAGAAATCAGGGTCAAAATTTGGGTCAGAACAGCGAGGGGCAGATGGAAGAGGCGAGCCAACTGCGGTTGGGCAAAAGCGAGCAGTGTAGGGCAGCGGCGACAGCAGCAAGACTTCGGAGTTGAGTCGAGTGCTCTCGTTTGTGTTTGTGTACATGCGTATCAGTGTCATGTTTGTATAACATCAGCGTATGTGCATGCGTTTGTGCTTCTGTGCAATGGCGTGGCTGTAATGAGAAAGTCTGCGCAGGCGTCTAAGGATGAGGATTCTTTCCAAATGAAACTGAAGACGCAGAATCGGCGAGTTTGTAATAAAAGGTATTGATCTCTTGTGAATACATGCATTTTTACGCTTTCTTGATTCAAACAATATCATTTCAAAGAACATAGAACTTGGATAGTTCGGAAGATTTTGTTAAAATATCAAGTACACACGAATATGAACAGCCCGTATGGCATGATGCAAAAATATTCAAAAAGTGGCGCTTAGTGCCAATGTTCTCGCTTTCCAAAGCGCTCTAGTATACCTTCACTAACGAGGCGAATGTTAATTTGTCGACGCGACGTGTGCTTTTCTTTAGGATGGTTCATGATCTCCCCGTGAGTTGTGATTTCAGTCATTTCAATTTCACACTCGTAGAACGAAGCTGGCTGTCACTTTTGTTTATGAGCCGGCGTAAATTAGTCGCATTGTTTTACAATGCATCACTGACATCTCTATCACCGGCAATGTCCTCCGCTGGCTTTTGAGGGGCTGTCGTCTAATAGGCAGAGTTGTGGCGCGTAGGACTCCCGACGGGCCTTCACCACTTCTTAAAGAACAAACCCCACCGGTTGAGAGGGAGAAGGAATACATTTACATCAAAGCTGGCTGTTTCACTGATATAGTGTTCATGGCGAACGCTGCAGCTGATCCTTGTCTTCTCCTCCTGTCTGTCCACTCGCACTCATGCTCTTGTGGAATAGAAGAATTCTTCAACACTGCTAGCGGGATAAAAATCTGGCCACGTAAATGCCTAAGCTTTCGCTCTTGCGTTCCACCAGCCGCGGCTACCCGAGTGGTTAACACGCTCATCTTCACCGAAAGGACGCGATTGCTTGTGTCCTCTCCCTGGCGACAGATGCGCTGGTGTGCGACCACCGTGATCAGTTCTCTTGAGCCTTCTCCTGATATGGTCAACAGCGCGCGCTCAGCATTATTGTGGTCTGAGTATCTTTTTGTGTTTTGCCGCCTATTTTATTATGGTGATTTGATTGTGCGGTCAGAGGAACGGACGGAAGAACTCTATTCTTGTTTACTCTACATAGAAACATTCAAAGGCTTTCTGAGGGGTATGGCGTTAAATACCTAAATAGAGCCATATGTTAGCGTATTATGTGCACTTCCAAAACAAATGTGTTTTTAGAATAAATTTTGAGCACTTCAGAGCATTATACAACATTATACTATAGAGGAGCCATAAGGGCAGTTCTGCGCGCTAGCCGCACAGCCGCAACGCACGTACCCGCACATCTGCCGCTCCCAATGCGTAGAACCACCTGAAACAACTTTATAAGTCATCCGAGTGTATGTAGACAGAGCAGCACTGAAACAGATAGTGAATACGATGACTTCTTTGAAGACTGAAGTTTACCAAAACTAAAAAAGAAATGTCGAAAGCTAAAGGTTATATTCACCGTTGTATTGCCAGCGCCACGAAGTTGCTCAAATATGCAAGAAAAGTGCACAATGTGAAAAATTGTAGCGCATTGACTGGTTTTCTTGTAGTAAAACAGAGGCAACATCCTTTCATTTCTGAACTGAATACAAATCGCTACGACACCCATGCCCGCCTGCTCCCGTGCACTGAATTCCAAAGCGTCGACGGAGCTAGGGAAGTCGAAGTTGCTCAGTCTGTACTCGAGACCGACTGCATGCGACCTGGTAGTCGGCTGACGGCCTAGCAAACAGTGCTTGGCGGGCGCGATGTCATAGCTTATTTTCCGGCTACAATCCTGTGCCGAATCCAATTCGCGGTCAAGACTGTCTTCATCTCTCAGCGGAAGAATCGCGTCGTCGAGTCTTTACAGTGCAGACTCGTTGTCCTTCAGGTAGTCGAGGTGCACGTGATCTTCCGAGAGGTCGGAATATTTCTGCTGTAGAAGATCGGCTAAGTCCGTTAGGTCTGACGTGACACCAGCCATGATTGCTCCCCGCTTCTTGCGCAGCTGGTCCGAGTCCGCCGTGAGGGTGACGTGAAGACGTCTCTCAAGGGGTAGTCGCGAGTTTCGACAACAGCAATGTAGCGAAATGACTGGTCCGTGAGATGTAAAAGAGACAGGTCTGTTTATTGTCAATGCCGAATACGAACTGCTCCTGACCACGTGCACATGCCCCCATGCCTTCGACTCCACCTCAGTTTCTTCTTGGATAGAGCTCGGCTCACAAGTTGCTCAGTCACAATTTCGCGACAAAATTAAAGCATCCAGAATCACAAATAAATGTCGGTAGGCCTGCCAACATTGCGAAAAAGAGAACTATCTGTAAAGTACACAAGCATACGATGGTTGGATAAAGCAGCTTAGAAAGACATGATAATAGAAAAGGTATTTAAAGATGTATAGTGGGCAGAAAAGCAGGGAAACATCCTGTTATAAGTAGAAAAATTACAGCCATGTTAGTGAGGCCAAAGGATACATAAAATTTAGAATTGTTTTGATGGTCTGGTTGATCCTTCATGCTGTACCGTTGCGAATACAAAGGGACAAAAGCAGAAGAAACCGCATAGAAAAAACAACACTTCAACTTGGTCTCATTCCTGTGATGGATGCGCACAATTATGAATGGCTCAATATTTCCCCTACTTTTTGTTTGTATAGGGTGGACAGTGAGCACAAAGAGCGCTCATATTTGAGTAGTAACACAAAAAAAAAACAATACTAAGTGTGTAGCTTAGAAAGAGAGTGCAATTACCAGAGATTTCTTTGCTGACATCATCCCACACACGTCATCTGTCAATGCGGTCACATTCGGCTTCACACCGATCAAGATAGATAATTGTGCTACGTCATTCACTGAACATGTGCTTCTGCGTTCTTCCAAATATATGTCTTATGTAAAAACCGAACAGCAATTCAACATAAAATTTTCAGTGAAAGTTTAAAAGACAGGCTTGAAAACATTTCAGTTGCTGACCGATGCTAATAAAGATGAAACTTTGCCTCATGCGTCAGTGCTTCAGTGGCGTAGGTGGTTCCAATGTGGAAGGGAAAGTGTGGGAGATTGTGTACGTGTTGGGTGCCCCAGGTAAGCGATTACATATAATTTCTGAATTTTCTCATTGATACAATATAGGTGTACCAGTGCGAGAGGGGGCCCTCCCGCCCGCAGATTCTTTGTCAGACACCTCAATTCAGTGTTTATTGTCCACCTTCTGTCACCAAATAAATCTAACGAATGAACTCACTGTGAGCATACCTTTTATTTTATTTATGCTACAAGAGGTTTTTCAGCTAGTAAAAACGAAAAGTCATGACCTCGCCCCTTTTACTATGTTAGTTTGGGTGAATTCTCCCCTCCCCCAAAAATATGTGGCTGGATTCACCCCTGATAGGTACTGAAGATTGAGTGTTTGTTAAGTGGTTGAGTTGGCTGACTTGAATAAGGAAACTGTTTGACGCTTTCTTATGCTATGTGAGGAATTACACTTGAACCTGCAGAGGTTGTTCTAAACGTTTTGCCCGAGGACCAAATACAGGATGGTAAAGACGTGCGGAGAACATGTTAGATCGCAATGCGACGAACCTTTTTTTTAATATGTTGTAACATGGGAAGACGTAAACATTCTACCTATGGCCCAGACGGTAAACGCCACTAAATGCCGCGGAAGTCTACAAATCACGACCAGAAATAAATAAAATTGTAAATGTGTTTTCTAATACAGGAGAAGGAATAAAGGGAGACTTCGCTGGTGATTAGGTATATAGTATTGTTATATTAGGTGACTAGTTCCTCATGAGGGAGGGGGACTCGATGAAAACATTTTTTTTACTCTTTTGTGCTTTGGCAGGCTAAATTATCGACAAATTATTGCGGTACCTATTAAAACTCTTTATTAGTGAAGGGGGGAAATCAAACACCAGCACATCGACCAAGCACAGGCGGCGGTGTCGTAATGAAGGAAAGCAGGTGATTACTCTTCATGCCACAACAAAATGGGAGTCTGAGATAAACCACTTGTAGGCCGATTGTGAGCCAGCATCATTGTACAAATGGACGGGTCACGCAAAGGCTCCTCGAGACAGCAGGGTCGAAATTTGGGTCAGAACAGCGAGGGGCAGATGGAGAAGGTGAGCCAACTGCGGTTGGGCAAAAGCGATCAGTGTAGTGCAGCGGCGACAATAGCAAAGCTTCGGAGTTGAGTTCAGTGCTCTCGAGTGTATTTGTGTAGTTGCGTGTCAGTGTAATGTTTGTATAACTTCAGCGTATGTGCGTGCGTCTGTGCTTCTGCGCAATGGCGTGGCTGTAATGAGAAAGCCTGCAGCAGGCGTCTAAAGATGAGGATTCTTTCCAAATGAAACCGCAGACGCAGGATCGGCGAGCTCGTAGTGGAAGGTATTGATCTCTCGTGAAATACAATGCATTTTTTACGCTTTCTTGATCCAAACAATATCAGTTGAAAGAACATAGAACATGGATAGTTTGGAATATTTTGTTAAAATATCAAGTACACACGAATATAAACAGCCCGTATGGCACGATGCAAAAATATTCATAAAGCGGCGCTTAGTTCCAATGTTCTCGCTTTTTAAAGTGCTCTTGTATACTTTCAGTAATGAAACGCGTGTTCATTTGTCGACGCGACGTGCGCTTTTCTTTAGGACGATTCATGATCCCTCTCTCAGTTGTGATTTCTGTCACTCAACCTCACATTGGTAGAACGAAGATGGCTGTCACTTTCATTGATGAGTGGCCGTAAATTATAGTTCCATTGTTTTCCGTTACATCGCTGACACCTCTGTCACCGGCAATGTGCCCCTCCGGCTTTCCGAGGAGCTGCCTACTAGAACGGATGGTCACGCGGACGGACGGAAGCAAGAACGAACGGACGGACGGAAGCACGGACGGGCTGATGGATGCATTCGCCCCACTCACTATCATTGACTTTATGGATATGCTGTGATTTTTTTAGACTACCTCGTACTTTACTATGGGAGAGCTAGAGGCCAAAGTGACAAATATTTAGGCATAGCCAGTTCCAACACGGAGGTCAAGGCTTGAGAATTTCACTGGCAGCACCAGAAAGGAGAAATTCGTGTGTTTAAAAAAAGTTATAAACAATTTTCAGTACTTGATACTCTACTAAGCGACAGTATAAAGCCTTGCCGTGGGCCTCACACTTCCACGTGGATTATGTATTTAGATAGAGTGTTTAACAATTTAGACTACTTTGTAATCTACCACGGGAGACCAAAAAGCCGGCCCTTGGCACGGGGACGAACTTGTAGGGCACACATCATGTGTTCAGAAAGCGTGGTTAATGATTTAGAGTACCAGGTGTACTCTACTATGGGAGAGAAAAGCCATCCCGTGGGCCTCACACCCTGATAAAGATATGTGTGTGCGTTTAGAAAAAGTTGTTTAGTGCTTCAAAGTAAGACGAACTGTACTATGCATGGGAGAGCATAAAGCCGTGCCGTAGGCATCACTTACTGTACAACAATTCCACGGATCCGTCAAAGGCGGACTGAAAAGAATGTTTTAAAATTAAGTGGTTAACGATTTAGAGTATTTGGTACTCTACTACGGGAGAGCTAAAAGCTGTACCGCGGGCCTCACTGCACAATTTCACAAGCTAAACGATATGGCGAATTACGCAAACCACCACGTAGATAGAACCAGCTCTATGGTTTCGAGAGAACTCCCATACAGTGGGCACAAACATCATTCCTTCCTCTGATTCGGCAGTTACATTTCACAGTTGTATTCATCGGGAAATTGGAGGAGTAGCAAAATGGCGCAGAAGGTCCATTACAGTTGAACGTTTTGTCATTTACTAATGTTTATTAATATCCAATGAGAACGAGTGAATCAATAAAAACTTCAATGAGCGCTATGCCTACACCCGTGAGGGCAGATTATTTTACCAACGTGGATTACTTCTAACAAGTTCATGCAATTGAAGGCATGAGTGAAATGCCTGAAATGAGAATAATGCGGTTAATGCGGATGCGGAAATGAGATTAATGTGGATTAAACTGAACTGAACTGAATTTACTGATCGACGTATGTCTTGAATCGACGTATGTCATGATCGACGTATGTCTTGAATCGGGGGGGAGGTCAAGCTAGACAAGTGCTAGACAGCTTTTATTCGCCGCTCCACTTTGAATATGAAATAATAATAATAATAATAATAATAATAATAATAATAATAATAATAATAATAATAATAATAATAATAATAATAATAATAATAATAATATAGAAAATTCGATTCATTGATTGCTTAAACTGTATCAACACGAGTTTTTTCAGGACACCGCATCCCTGCGCATCCTGGAAGCAGTGAACCTGTGACCAGTTTTCAGCTACGGTTTCCTGGCATAATCATAAATTAAAATAATTATTCACCTTTGATCAAAGCTTTCAAACGAAGTAGTCCAGTAATGGCGTGGTCTCGATTAATTTGGCAAAAATTGAGGCTTTTGGTTCGCAATGATCTAAGTTCATGCATGAAATTACACCTTTCGCCAACCCGGATCTCTTCCTTGGCTTCTAAGTCGATATCCTTTGGGTGAGTGAAACGGGGAAAATACCGCAACCTTCCGGCCGACCAATGTGTTTCGCGTAAAGTGGCTGAGGCTCGTGTGGAGCACGCTTGATTCAATGCAGAGTAACACCTTTTTTTACATACTGCGTCAACATTTATAACATCTGTGCCTTTGGGCAAACTTCTGCACTGCGCGGTAATTAGGCGCTCGGCTGTCATCATTTCTATCTATCTATCTATCTATCTATCTATCTATCTATCTATCTATCTATCTATCTATCTATCTATCTATCTATCTATCTATCTATCTATCTATCTATCTATCTATCTATCTATTTATCTATTCAGCCCTCTGAAATTTTGTCATTAATACGATGTTTAATAAATTATAACATGCGTGTGGCAAAACAAATCAATTAATCGCGATTGTTTTGGTCCTCGTGCAGCATCTTTATTCTTTTTACATACCACAATTGGTATGGCTTGGTGAAACTCCACGACAAACATAATTGACTTCTTCTAATGGGCAAATCTAGACACCATTGTCATGTACAACCTCATTTACATGACGTAGTTTCGAGGTTCTCACAGCCATTTACAATTATGCCAAAAATACTCTGACGAGATATATATCTGTATGACAAACAAAAATGACAGATAGTACCAAAGAATTATCAGTTACAGGTCATTTACGGCCTTACTTACTAGTTGTTACGCTCATCGCGTGCTCGCAAACCGTTCTCTGGCTGGATGTGCACCGAAATTCATAATACATGACACAACTATGGTGAGCATAAATACCAGCTTTAAAGTTGAAATCATATCATGCCTGTCGAGCAATGTGTGATTTGAATACGACTCTCATAGGATGCTCGGACTGGTTCACAGTCAGGATGTGCCTAGGCAAAGTGGTTGACTATTTAAAGTACTTAGTACTACTATGCAAAAACATAAAGCTGTTTCGTTGGCATCACACTTGATGAGGTTGTGTTGACAAAATTTGCGCCGTGAATGAGTTCATCATGGTGAAGTGAAAGGAAGACAGAATTATGATCTCTTAGAAATACAATGACACTCATCTCCCATGTACTGGTCCGTGGATATACACAGAAAATTGTGTTGTGTTGTGCGACTGCATGATGTAACATAAAAACAACGGCCTGCATTGAAAGCATACAGCATGCGCTGTAGTACAGAAAGTTGAGCTAGTTAGTGGTTTATGCTCGTCATGTAAAAACAGCGACTCTGAAGTAGCCACATGAAAGTGGCCACTTCAGAGCCTGCGTCGTCTATTTTTTATTCCTTTTATCTCTTTCGCGCTCTTTTGACATCTCAACTCATATACAGTATGATTCACAAATCTTGCTCATTGTGTGCTCACAGCCTATCCTGCCCCAAAATTGGTATTTTGCGAAGTGACTGCACGAAAAGTGAAAGGCAATAGAAATAGTACCACGAAGACGCTGTCATTCATGTAGTGTTTTCATGCTACCACACGCTATTCTTGTTCGTCGTAGAGTGACTTCACACATTACTAATTTTCGTGAATATAAAGCTTGCTCACCGGCGTTGAGCCCATCATGAGCGTGGCATGTAATTCATGTCATACATAAAATGAATGCCATGATTTTCACGCTCACAAGATTTCTTTCATGTTTGTCATGCAGTCACCGCACGGAATACTAATTTTGACAGTTACGCCGAACCTATCGTGCATGTCTTCACCCATATTTTTCGTCTTTCGTTTCATAATTTAATTCTTCCCTATGATTGGCGAACGCCACGTGTTATTCCCGTATTTAAAAAAGGTGATCGCCTAAATGTTGAAAACTACCGGCCAATATCATTAACTTCCGGTCCTTGTAAACTTCTTGAGCATATCATCACGCATTACATAATGTCATTTCTTGAAGAAAACAGTATTTTGACTCCTTTCCAGCATGGTTTTAGGAAGGGCCTCTCGACTACCACTCAACTTGTCACCACAATTCACGACTTCGCAATGGCACTTGATAAGGGCGACCAAATAGACGCCATCTTCTTAGATTTTAGAAAAGCTTTCGACTGTGTTTGCCATAGTAAATTACTCACCAAACTTTCAAACATTGGCCTACCCATTACTGTAATTAATTGGATCTGATCCTACCTTACCAGCCGCAAACAGTTTGTCCAGGTCGAGGGCTGCTGCTCTGGGGTTCTACCTGTAACCTCGGGAGTTCCACAAGGCAGTGTCCTTGGCCCTGTCTTTTTTCTCATCTTTATCAATGAAATCGTTTCATCAGTTGACACCTCCGCCATAAGCCTAAAGCTTTTTGCAGATGACTGCATTCTTTACAAGCCAATTAAAAGTGAAAGGGACCAAGAGTGCTTGCAGAACAACCTAAATTCTTTCTCCGATTGGAGCCATACCTTGTCGTTGGAGTTAAACATTAGTAAATCAGTCTATATGTGTATCTCAAACAAAATTACCCCTTTTGCATCACGCTACACCTTAAATAATAATCTGTTGATCGAAGTGAGCAATTTTAAATACTTGGGAGTCAATATTACCAATCGACTGTCGTGGAGTAACCACATTGACGATGCTTGTTCCTCCACCTCTAGAAAACTAGGGTTTCTTAGACACAAACTAAAAACGCGCCAACTCAGATCAAACTTCTTGCATATAATACATTTATTCGACCCCGTATAGAGTACGCATGCGTAGCCTGGGACCCGTATTTTAAAAAGGATGTTTATAAACTTGAAATGGTCCAGAGGAGAGCGGTAAGATTCATCTATAATGCCTATCACAATCTTGATTCACCCTCATCACTTATGGCTACTAACAACATTCCGCTCTTGAAACAGCGTAGAACTATCGCCAGACTCAAGTTTCTTTTCCTGCTTTATAATCATCAGTTAAATATTGATCCCAGTAAATACATCTCTCCCTCTTCTTCCAGGAAAACCAAGCATGCTCACAATCATGATCTGACACCTTACTTTGCACGTATTAACCTTTTCAAATATTCCTTCTTTCCGAGAACCATTAGTGAATGGAATGCACTGCCTTCAAATGTTTTTCCTGAACGTGGCATTCGCGACTCTAAAAACTACATGCACCTTTTGTGTAAGCAACACCGTTGATATTTCAATGCTAGATTACCTCATCTTATTATTTCAACTGTGTAGCTTTACTTTATTGTGCTTGAAACTGTTTCTAGAAGTTTGTTCGCTTTTTTTTTCTAGATATGTATAACTAAGCATCGTATTTTGTATGACTTGTTTTTCAGTAGCTTTGTGTATTCTAACTTGCTGTGTAACTTGTTCGCTTTTTTCGCTATGCTTCCTTTTTGTGCCCCTCCTGCTTGGTCTACGGACAGCAGTATGTAATAAATAAATAAATAAAAAAATCACCTCTCGCATAAGACCTGAAAGCACGAAGTCTGCTAGAACGATAGTCTCGCTATAATTAAAGATAAGAAATGTATATTTAAAGGCTCGTTTTCTTTGTTAAACACATTAAAAATAAAAACTAACAAACGATGGTACCAAGGCAAGTAGTTAGTGAATGTTCTCAGAAGTATTTTAAGGTAGTGTGAGAAAACACAAGTGGGGAAAAAGTTCATTTACGGTGCGTGGGGTTTAAACCTGCGTGCAATGCTGTACCTACTGTGCTATTACAGAAACTATACTTCAGTATGCTTTGTAGAATGTATATATATATGAATTTAAACGTGGGAATGCCAGTCAGCGCCACCAGAAGCCATGACGGCGATTCTGGAGCACTGTTTTTATGCCTGTTGGAGTGAAGTAGCACGTGTTCCTAATACGAGCTGCTTGGTTGTTGTAAGTTATAATAGCCAGAACGAGTAATACTTCTGGTCATTTTTTGTTTTTATGATCAGGATATAGAACCAGCAGTTGCATAACATATTGCATATATTGCGCTGATATTGTCATTTTTGGCGGCGCCTAAATATTATGACCTGTCTGCATACAACGGGATATGATAAATGGTGTTTATTCACCCACGTCCGGCGCTCTTTGAGCCCAGGAGAAGAATACGCCGCTAAACAAAGTAGCGAGCAGTTTGTAAGAAGGGCTAGAAGACTTTCTAGAGGAGCTGAAATAGCATAAAATTGAAGCAGACTGATGGCTGATGCATACAGGCTTTTTTTATTAATTGGACAGAGCAGGCCACGCCTTTTTGAGTATCTCTTCACATTTGAATACACATAAATATGGATAAAAATATTATCTACTGCTGTAAGCCTATAATTTATGTCCTAGTTGGCACTGAAATCGAATAATAATTTACAGGAAAACACTAGAACCTCCTCCAGGGTATACTATTGGGGATGCGTTAAAGATATAAAACAAGGCCTAGTGGAGACCGCATTTCTAATTTTGTCCCAGGGGAGCATTTTACTTGTTTACGAAATAACCGACGCTTCGAAGCCTCGCATGTGGTCTCGAAAAGTGGTCGCTCAAGCATGCAGCCGCGAAACTGACCCACGATGAAAAGATTGCCGTGAAAGCTTCCGGCTGAACTTCATTGTGATTTAAAAGTATAACGTATCCATTCCGACGCGCAGGTTACTAGTCCGTTGAATCGTTGTCATGCGGAAAGTAGTTTAATGGAGTTTCTAACGCGACGCGTGAGCCTCATAATGACCATAGACGGGCGTCAAGCCCTAGTTATGCTTTATTTGCTTATGCGGCCCTCCTTTCTTCTTCCGCCCACATTTCCTCCAAGCAGTCAACACGTCTTCCGTATAAAAGAGCGCCAAGTCCATTCGCAAGTCAGTACTCGTCCGTTTCGGGAGCCATGCAAGCATCGGTGAGTAGGCAGCGACGCCAACGCCTTGGTTGCGTGAACGCCGGACACTTAGACGCCACAATGAACGATGCCTCTCTTGAAGTTTGGTCAAGACTGTAGCATAGGTGCCGGTAGCAATGCTGTGGTTGCTGGCTATGCTTTTGTTTAGCAGAAAGTCGCCCAGTGGTAGCACGCGAACGGTGAAGCGTTGTTCGCGTGCTACAAACTTGAACACTTCTCAGCAGCATAATTCCCGGCTACTGAAGTGATGACTTGGGCTTCGTCACCTCACAGGCGTAGTTATCGCTTCTGTTAGCTGGTAGCCATTGTGTGTACGTTATTACAGATGATATTCAATACTGGTGGTGCTTCTATAGGATTGTCTAAAACACCGTAGCTTTGGTAGATTTTGCCCTAGCGATCGTTATTTCCGCAGCCACAATAGCAGTTAAGAAGTCCGTTCATTTCACACAGTGAATAAAACAATCAAAGTGGTACTTTATGTGTATATAAAATTGCTGCATGCTGATCAATCTACCAACTCCAGGACCTCCCAGCATGGAGTCATCCTTATAAATCAATGAATTTTGAGTCAGCCAAATACATACCATGCGCTTTGTGGCACTTGTAGCATAAGTACAATGCAGTGCATTCAAGTTTGCTGGAACTAGTTGTGAAGAAAACGACAACGACATTAGCTACACACTAAAGCGCCTATCAGCTTCAGAGATATGGTAACACTTATTTCACATTTATCCAGTTCAACTCATCTACCTAAGTTCGATTACCAAGTCCGACTACGGCAATCTTTCTTTGTTCCAGATCCTCATCGTTTTCGCCGTGGCGGCGATCGCCTCTGCGGGTATTATTCTTGACGGCGGCCATGATTACGGCGGTGGTGGTGGCTTTGGCGGTGGTGGCTTTGGCAGTGGTGGCGGCGGCGGTGGAGACGACATTGGCGTAGCTTCCATCTCGTACGTCAAAACCCCCGTTGTGAGCGTAGGCTACGTCGCCAAGCCTGTAGTAAGTTATGTGGCGAAGCCGGTGGCCACCGTTTCCCACGCCATCAAGCCCGTTGTAACGTATACAAGCATCTCTAGCGGCGGTGGAGGTTTCGGCAGCGGTGGTGGTGGCGGCGGCTACGGTGGTGGCCATGGAGGAGGATGGCCCTGGCATTAGCGCAGCACCCACCACAATGACCTCGTGTAGCCAGGCATTCACATGTCGTCACTGGGTGAACTTTACAGCAACATCCAAAAGTGATCCCTTCTCTACAGTGATGGCGTTTGACATACTTCGTTCACGCACGAAATACGAGCTGGCATACGTAGAAAACAGGGCCACGTGGGCCTGACAAAGATGTGAAAGTATGAAAGATAACGAAAATAAATGAATGGTTGTTAAATAGCACCGTCATATGTTTTGCATATTATCTGAATATTTCATATCAACACGTTTCTACTGCCGTTCAGGCGTTACAATAAAGCGCAGGTTCAACATACATATTAGGCTAGTTCCAGACATAAGTTCGTAATGCATGGAGGAGAAAGAAGAGGAGAAATGACGGAAAGTAAGCAGGATGCTCGCCCCGCCGCGGTGTTCTAGTGGCTAAGGTACTCGGCTGCTGACCCGCAGGTCGCGGTATCAAATCCCGGCTGTGGCAGCTGCATTTCCGATGGAGGCGAAATTGCTGTAGGCCCGTTTTCTCAGATTTGAGTGCACGTTAAAGAACCCTAGGTGGTCAAAACTTCCGGAGCCCTCTATTACGGCATCTCTCATAATCATATGGTGTTTTGAGGCGTTAAAACCCCAAATATAATGAAACAAGATGTTCACGCGGTGTGCCAACCTTCGCTGGGCGAATGGAATGAGGGTATGAGAAGGTAGACAGACAGAAAGAAGGAGGCACGCAAGAAATTCACGGGAGCGTAAAGTGCTGCGCCCTATTCTACTCCACGCTGGATACCAGCTGAATCATGTACCAGTGTATTTGTAGGTAGAATAGCCATGCGCCAGCTGAAGGTTTAGAACTACTTGAAATAACACATCAGTACCTGTCGTTCGGACTGAGCATTTCACAGTTTCTGCTTGGCACCGAACACGTGATGTGTGTGCAACAGGTACTAAACCACTAGGATTGTTGCTTTCCACAAAATACGCCGCTGACAAAACACGCTTATTTTTTTTTTCTTACGGCTAACGCGTTATCAGTTCAGAGTTTAAAATTTCAAAGTCTCCAGGTTTCAATATACATTAAAAAGCGCTTCTTTTACGTATATGATGCCTTGGTTGTTGTTTCTGAATAGGGATGAGGCCACAATGCGTAAATATTACTTGAAGCACTGATACTGGCTTTGTCCGGCTTCACCTCCTTGTAGAGAACAGGATTTACGGCAGCACATTCAATGCAACACTGAATAGATGGTTAGCTATGAATAAAATATTTGGGTGCGAAATGAAGAGTAGCAGTGGCATGGTTTTCATTAGAGATATGAACAAACCCCCGCCATCGAAATGCGTTAAGTAGTCCTGCAGCGCACCGTACGTGCCTTTTTGATCCCAACACACACCTGACGGTGTCATGAAGCTACGTATGATTGTGCGCGATGTCTTCTATCCAAGAGAAGTTCTTTTATTGCTAGACGCTAATACATATAAAACCAGTATGCTTCCCGAAGAAAACTCTTTTGTAGACGCGAATACGCAAGAACAATGCATTTTCGTTCATTATCCTGATAAGTTACCGTCACCATATACGAATTTCACCTCGCTATATCAAATGAGAGGTAAGGCCGCATAATCCTGATGGGTATGGCTGGCAATACTCAATGAAAACACCTTCTAGGAACCCTTTAAGTTATTTCTGTGAACACAAATTAAGCAAGAAAAAATGTGGTCTTCGATTTGAATTCCAAGCGCCATGCTCCTTCTTGCTATCCATAACAGCGTGAAGACTCACACCAGGCCCCATTGCGTATTGCTAGCGTTGGAGCCACGAGCACAGGCATGCCATGGAGAACGCCTTCACAAGCAGTGACCGCATGCGGTTTTTTAAATGAGTGTTTACCTCCCAGCCTATTTTGCAAGCTTACGAGCTTGCGAGCAATTGCGCACTGCCTAGGCAACTCATCGAAGCTCTGAGAGAGGTAAACGAGCAAACCAATTGTGGGGGGATTTCTCGCGAGCAACATTTGAAAGGCGCCGTCGTCAACGCCTTTCAAAATGTGCCTGATTTTTTCCTCCTCAGGCATGGTAGAGTTGACGCGGTTGTATAGATGCAACACATCTTCAATGTAGCCCGTGTAGGTCTCGCCTGGTTGCTGCGCACGGTCACATTAACGGTGCTCGGCTTGAAGCTTGCGTGCCGCAGGTCGTCCAAAGACGTCCGTAATAGCAGTCTTGAATGCAGACCATGTAGGAATGTCAGCTGCGTGGTTATTAAACCGCAGTTGCACGGTGTCTGCAAGGTAGAACGTGACGTAGCCCAGCTTACCTGAGTCGTCCCATCTATTACTTGCGCCGATTTCGTCATACCACGCCAACCTATCTTCGACGTCAGACTCAGTGGAGCCCGTGAAGATAGGAGGGTCTCGTTGAGGATACTCTGCGCCGCAAGTGAAATGGACGCTCCAAGGTCCCACCTGGAGAGGCATCTCGGTGGCCATGTTCGTGTCACGTAGAGGGGGAAACTTACGGGAGCGAAGTTCCAGGTTTGTACGGGAGTCCACACACCTCCACCAGATGTCACGCAGTTTATTTACGTACAGTCCTACTGGAAGGTCGAGGAACGCCAGAAGAGCGAGGAACGTCAACAGGCCGAAAATACAAAACAAGCGCAAGCTCGAGTCGCGCGCGTGCACCAATGCTGTGGCTTGCCGTTTCTTGCTGCTTCGTCGTCGTTCGCATAGTTCCCTACATCATTAACAAAGCTGTAGTGAGTATTAATAAAATGTGCTTGCAGTAATTCCCTAAATATGTTTAGAAAGGCTCTGAAAGGCCGCTCTTCTAGCTTTCTCTGTGACTGTGCTGCGCCTTACGCGCAGGCCTTGCGCTTTTTTTTTTCGAAAATGTTTGATGACGTACATGACCAGATTTTGGTATTATTCATGTTATGACCAGCATGTCCTGTTCTTCAAACCATCGTAATCTTCCTTGCTAATTTTGGTGTAGCCCAAGTTAAGGGCCGATCATGAGAGCCCCCAAACGGAGAGATAGATAGATAGATAGATAGATAGATAGATAGATAGATAGATAGATTACTCCTAGTTAGACTAAACCGTTATTGAAGGCATAAAGAACAGACATTTCTCTTTCCTCATAGCATCTAGTTTCACCGCTGTAGCGTTAGAGAGCTCGTGTCGCACAACTCCTGCCGTCGGCGTCAGCCCCGTCCGTTGTGAGCTAAAAATCGTCCATGAGCGAAAAAAATAATAAGTTACAGAGATCGCTTTGTCAGGCCGTTATTTGTCCACGCGTGCGCGCGCGATCACTCTAAAGAAACCACACAATCTAAAAAAAATATTAGTTCCAAATCTGCATGTTACACCGCAAATGTAGTCGAAAGACGATAGTCTTGCGTCTGGAGAGAGTGAAAAGAAAACGTTTATTTGATGTTCTGCGCAAGCAAATCGTTGAATGATATTCTGGGGGGGCTGCGTTAGAGTGCCTCGAGAGTTTAACGGAGGAGAAAAAGCGCATCTAGGCGCGTTAGGCACGAGCGCCATCTGGCAGTTATCTTCGAAAATGAAGGCGTGCAGCCCGCGGAGAAAGATGCGCGCCAGTCTCGGAGGTGATAGGGTGTAGAACGCAAAGCGTCGGGCAGGTGCCACCACCGTGACGTCGTAGCAAAGCGTTTGAAACTTCTTTTGAGCATCGCGTTGCACTGTCAGCGCAGCGCATAAACGCTACATTTCTTAGAGTTACTTGTTTGTGCCTCTTCAGACTGGGACCAGTTCCGTAAAATACGGGAGCAGAAGGGCAATACAGAACTATCATATGAAGTTCTCTTAAATAAATTAAAAAATGCAGTGAATGAGGCCACCAAAGAAGTCGAGACTGATGAATCCATCCAGGCAATGGACTCTCACTTGGCCAGTTTGGTGCAGAAAAGGCATGACCTGAAAGAAGCATGGCGTAAAAACAAGCTCAACCGACACTTACGCCCAAAAATTGCGGACCTTGGCAACGAAATCGAATCTCACGCCAAAACAATCTGCGCCTAGGAGTGAAACAACACATGTGACGAAGCAGATGGCAAAATGAGGAAGGGAAGCAAATGGGGGCTGCTCAAACACCTTATGGCGGACAGCGACAAACCCACCAGAGGCGGCACCCAGCTGCAAATTGAACGATTGGTGCACAAGCACGCCCAGAATAGTGGTGGATCCCAAGCTCTCCTCAAAACGCTAGGCAAATCAGTAGCCTGGGAAAACAAAAATCCCTCATATGGAGTCGACCGCAAGAAAAGCTAGACGAACCATTCAGCGAAGCTGAAATACGGTACGCTCTACAACAACTCAATGGCAGATCGGCGCCAGGGCCAGATGGAATCGACAATAAATTGCTACGGAATCTAGACGATAAAGCAATCGTAATCATTACTAAGAAGATAAATGAGACATGGGAAACGGGTACCGTGCCTAAAGAATGGTGTAGTGTCAAGGTTTCGCTCATCCCGAAACCTGGAAAACCACTGAGCATCGATAACTTAAGGCCCATATCACTCACATCTTGCGTTGGAAAAGTAGCTGAGCATGCAATACTCAACCGTATCACGGACCACATTGAGAGCAATGGGCTCTTTCGACACAACATTATAGGCTTCCGCATGGCACTGTCCACACAGGACGACATGTCGATGTTAAGAGAACACATATGTTACGGGCCTCCTCCACACGCCCAAAGCCATATTAGCCCTCGACCTCGCCAAGGCCTTTGACACCGTAAAACATGAACACATACTGGGTGAAATATCACACATGAACCTAGGCGAGAAATTCTACAACTACATTAAAGGCTTTCTGGCGAACCGAACCGCCACCATACGCATAGGAGAGCAATGCGGTGACCCGAACGACTCGGAATATCGGCACCCCACAAGGGTCAGTGCTCTCGCCATTGATCTTTAATGTGGCGGTGCACAAGTTGTTGGGGAAGCTCGCTCAAATCCCATCCGTGCA